ATGCCGCGAAGCTGCTCCACTTTTGGGACGCTGCCCTTCGGTGTGGTGTCTTTGACCGTATTCGCTCACAACGGCATCGCTGGCCGGGGGACTGTGACCGCGCCTGGCGCTAATGTGGGATACGGTATACATCCTATGTTCCCAAACTTATAATCTTGTGAAAAGGAAGCAATGAAATGACGCTCATTAGGAAGTAGCTTATTTTTCACTCACAGCGACCCCATCATTATTGAAAGATATGAGCCGCTTCGTGGTCGCTTTGAGGTCAGTGGATGTATTTCCACCCCTTTCCCCGACAAGTTTGTTGTCTCATTTGAAACGGGAGAAAATTTGGCCCAGGCGCTATCGCAAGATGCGGGAATCCTCTAAGACTAAGTCTAGTAGGGAGCAGGTGCTCAAGCCAAAATGAAAATTTCTCCCGACCCTGGAGTCTCTCGCCGCGCGCATGAACCCTAGCCTGGGCCTATTCTTATGACGAATGCACCTCACGTTCACAAAAAGACCTTGTGGTAAGACTGTAACCTGTAAATGTAGTGTATAGTACTGCATTGATCGAATCAGAGCGATACTCTTACAGTGTACAAATAACGTAAAAAGCTCACAACTTCACTCTTAAATATTAATAAACTCATTGACGTATTCCTTTAAAAAAAGCTCAGGGGTTAACAAAATACTGCCGGCAATTGGTGCGGTCGCAGTTCCAATGAGATTGCAGCTCACACCACTTCGTGAAACTCGTAACTAGAAATGAATTACACCGTGAAAGCATCCTGCACACAAGTGCCCTATCCTATCACATATTTACGCTGTTGGAGTATAAATAGAAGAAGTATCAATCATTTTCAGCTCTAAGTGAGGGATTACGGTAAGATTGGATTGCATTTACGATGAGGTTGCTGAATAATGCGCCAGTGTCGAAAAGTGTCGTCGTCGAAAATGATATACGCCAGACACGAAATGGACCCCGTTGACCTTGTTGACCTACATATGGCTCGATAATTGGCAAGCCACCAACCAAGTGATAGAGTGTTCATAGTTGGCGATTGTACGTGAGGTTAGGCGATTAGGCGAGCAATCGATTGGGCGAGTAGGCGAGAAGGGTAGGATACGTACTCATTTGTTGCCCTGCCCATTGAGCGAACGCCTACTCGCATAATCGCCTGTTCGACTACTCGACTACAACGCTCCATGGGCGAAGCAAACCAATCAACAGAACTTGTAGAAAGTACTGTTGAGACTGCGATTGGAAATCAAAAATATGAAATTCATTCAATGCGACGCAATGTAAGAACAAAAGCGAATAAAAAACGTTCATTAATTACCAGGCGCAAAAATCAACATTTCATTAATGTGCAACGTTTTTCTCAAATGTCTTTTTTGTATATTTCTTCATTTGAGAGGTGGACGCCCATCACCACCCTTCTGGTTTTTCTGCTTATCATCAAATACATATTTAGATACTCCAGGTAAAGCTGGTTGATCCATGTGTCCCATTTTAGAAACGTAGTCTCCAAATGGATCATCCCCTCCTCCACCTTTCTCTTTTGAGCCAAATTGCATATTTTCTTTTGAGCCGATTGGCTCCTTTGAACCTGCTTCTTTCGATCCAAAATGCTCGTTGGATCCTGCTTTCTGCAATTCCTCCGCCGATTTCTCTTGCGACATTCCTTTGGATCCCATGTCCCTAGAAGGCTTTCGCCTTCTTCCTTTGACTTGTTCATCTTGTTGATTCAATTCCTCGGCTGCCTGCCGCACACGCTCTTCCCAGGTCTTCTCGAGCCACTTCTAAATAACTGAGTCCCTACTTGATATGACATCTATGGCAGATTGTAATCTCCTTACCTTGTAGCGTTTCTTGCGAAGTTTACGCATTAACGGAACCATTGCAATGATGCCGACGATGAGGACCACACACACAAAGCCCGCCGCTCCAATCACGATGATCCTGTAAATATGATAGAAGCTTGTGCCCAGCGCAAAGCCCTCTTACTGTTTATGATAAGAAAACCTTCTGCCTGCTTTAAAGGCAAAGTTCGGGCTCAGACCCACCTAAGAAGCCCTTACCATGGCTAGAAGTGCTGGGTACGCAAGTGCAAAGGTAGCGCCACCTTTCTACATCGAAACGCGTCACTAGGACCCTAGGCGCCAACAGACTCCACCAAACTTAACATGGTCCGCCCACCGTTCGATATCTTGTCTGCGTCGCCACGTTGATCTGCTATGCTCTCTCTTCTCGGACTTCTCTACCACTCTCCGCGCTCACATTATCTCTCATCTCCCTGCCTGCCTTTTGAACTTCTCCACAGCATAGAGCAAAATGCTCGTATTTCCTGTGTATTTCAGGATTTTCTTTTTTTTCTCCACTGGCGGTCCACCTCCCATCCCTACTTTCACATTTGAGTGGAATCCCCATCAATTTAATCCTGATTCTTGCCTTTAGATAATGTTGTTGGCAGTAGGGCGCATCACGCAATGACACCACGGCTGTATAAAGTCGTCTAATTCAGAATGTCGCTTCCATATGTAGAGTTTCTATGCACATAACCTCAATGAGAGCCCATTCGTCGGGGAGCATCTTGCAGTACAAATCGCCAAATCGTAGCTGCCAGTGTGTTACTGGATACCTGGATTCAGTCCCTCGAAAAGTCCCTCAATGAGGTGCCTTCGCTAGTATTCTCTGGACTGGATAAGGCCTCGTAACAACTGCGACCTACCACCTTCAGCTTTTGCCTCATCTACCTACCTGGTACACTGCATTCCCCCTGCTTCATGGATCCTTATTTAGTAACACTGGAAGTTAAACCCGAGCTATTCTCTACCCGTCTGCACTCTAGCCTTTCGCGAAAGAGAATAGAGGAACGTTTCAGATAGTCACCGTATCTTTCTGTGAGACGCTGCCTCTTGCAATCAAAATTCTCTTTCAAAAATGACGAGAAGTTCAACAGTGCCTATCTCATAGGAGTGCTTGCAGTGACTGCCACATTGTTCGAAGGATACAAAAACCACAAAGACAAAACAATGAGAATCCTATTGAAGCCTTGGGCAGATGAGGAAGCCATGACAGGGATTGAACGAAAATATCCATGGTATAGTTCTCTTTTTTCAATTTCTATTTTTTTCTTCAGCTTTCTTTTCACTAATCTATATTTTGACCCATTCTGGTTGCTCCTGTTCCAGACCATTCTAACATATCCTTCAGCCAGAGGTTCCTAGTATGTTCTCTTAAACAGCATAGCAGCTCTGTTACGCCGGGAATGCTGGACGATACCTGTTTTTTTCTCTAAACAACAGAAAGAACTCCTGCATTGTATCTGTTACATTTTTGTACCATCACTATATGATCATGACTAGTATTTAATGGGAAATTAGTAAAACTCCATGCAGCTCTGCTGGGTACCCCCCAGGAGGCCCGTCGCGCGGCAAGAAGGCCGAGTCAGCGGACGAGCGCGCGTATAGGGATTTCGCGTCAAGTTAAATAGAATGTCCCATTGCACGTCCTACATCGCACATCACGCGCTGCGACTCGTCCGCCGACTCTGCCTTCTTGCCGCGCGACGGGCCTCCTGGGGGTACCCGGCCAGCTCATATATGTATGTGCGGGTAAGTGGTGCTATTGAGCAAGCAAGTTCGTACAACTCGTCCGGCCCCGCCCCTTCATTTTTCAAGCAGCAAGAGAGGGGATCCTTGCTTAGGGCTGACATTTTCTTTGCTTTGTTTACGTTTTAGTCAACTCATCAACAACTTCATTATCTGCTGTTGTGACTCCACAGTGATGTGAGGGTGTTGCACTAAGCAAAGGAATGGAACGCATGCCACACAGGATCTAATTGATGAGTTTCTTGCACACGAAAACGAATAATTGATACTAAATAATCGGAAAAAGAAAAAAATCTGCCAAGAACGCGTCGGTTAAGGGTTTTACTCGCACCCACAAACGCTCTGCCAATCATAGACAATGAGAGACTAAGCTCGGAGAGAATAATATGAGGCGAGGGAGCGCAACAGATCAAAGAGTGCCAGACGACCTGATAGAAGAAAGTGCTCTTGTTGGGTGATGTCCGTGCACGGGAATACCGGATGTGTGATTGTCCTCTAGGTGTAGGTGTCTGTCTTACACCCCCAAGGGAATCATTCACACGACTTTTGCCAGGGATGTGGTTTTAGTGGAACTTTGTTTAGCACAACATCATATGTAAAGGTTTGAAGGTGAATGTTTTTCAAAGCCTAAGGTTTCGAACAGACCCTCTTTTCTCAACTGCACAGTCACCATCGCTATACTGGAACTACAGTAGCGGTCAAAAGTTTGGAAACTTTTTTATTTTTGATCTAGTGTAGCCAATAGACAATGAAATTGTCCCGAATTCACATATTATATACAGAATCAAGTGTAGATTACGATAAGCAACATAATTTTTTGAAAACGAGATTCGCTTTGAAAAATACGAATTTTTATAAGAAATGGCGCGTCAAAAGTTTGGAAACTTCTCAATTCCAAAGCGAATTCGGCAAAATAGCTCTCGAATCTACATGATAAATTAGTTATTCGATGAGTAGCTGTGAATTTCTATGTCAGCGTCGTTTTTATTGACATGGAGTTGATTATAAAATAATTTTAGGACTTTTAAGTCGAACCCTGCACACTGTGAACTAAATCACATTGTTTGGTGGGATTCCTAACTGGAATGTGGGTTGAGCGACATGCCAGTTCTTCCGTGGGATTTAGAATCTCGACTTGGTCGCTTCATAACAGCTTCTTTTTCTGGGTTTAGGAAGGCGGCAGTGAGGAGGTAGGCCTGCATTGGGTCATTTCCACGATAGAAAACCCATCTTTTTCGGCCAGTTCTGACTATCGAAGAGAAGCATTGTATTCTATAGACTGTTCTTGTACTTAGCCCAACCCACATTTTGCTGGATACATAGAACTGGGGAATCGCCGAATGGTCGGACACATCTCCATCCATGGCAATATTTCCACTATTTCTGAATGTTGGGAATCTTGTACTCTAAATGAGGTTTCCATTTGACTGAACACTTCACAGGGTCCACACACATTCATTTACAGGGTCCACAACATCATTTTAGGAAGATAGAAATCCTGCTCGTCGCTGAGGACAAAGTTTTACCTCTCGCCTTAGGTCTATGTTTAGCCGTTAGTGTGCGGAAGCCAGTTGGGCCATCCTGCTATTAAAGCCCAACAATGGCTTCTTGTTGGGATATCATCCGTGATATTCACCAGGTCGTGGCCGATGTTGGGCTGTGCTTGGACTTTCATACGATTAGGTTCAAACCAGAAAAAAAAATCGTCTCTCTTAGTTGGGCATATCGGGGGTACGGGGCGTGCCAACCACCTTCGAAGTATTTGAAGGAGGACCAAGTTTTCTTGTAAGAATACTTTTTTGTGAATGATCATTCGTCTTATGCTTACTCGGCTCCAAAAATACTAGAAACATTCGATAGTATTGGCTTCCGTAGAGACTGAACTACCTCAAGGGTTTAAAAAAGGACCTCCCATGGAAAAACTGCTTCCTTTGCATATGAATTCATTTTGAAATTACACATTACTCAATGGTTGAACTAAAATTAACAGAAACAAGTGAACATTGAAGAGTAGGAATCATAATGATGAGGGAAACAAAAAGTTTCCAAACTTTTGACGCGCCATTACTTGATAAAAATCTTATTTCTTGAATATGATTATAGATTTTTGGAAATTATTCTCCCATCGTATTCTGGACTTGATTTTGTATGTAATATCTAAATTTGAGGACAATTTCGTTATGTGTCGGCCGCGCTAGATCAAAAATAAAAAAGTTTCCAAACTTTTGACCGCTACTGTACATTCACTGTACGGTTATTAGCGCGGGCATTGCTGAACTGTGCTTAAGTGCGCGCAGCATCCGCGCCATCAAGGAAATACTCAACTATCAATCTCGTGGATAAGACGATGATTATGTTATACACCCATATCTTAGTTAGAGCTTGGATTTGAGCGAATTTCAAGTCCAGAACTTTGAAAAAATTGCAGCCAGAAGTGTCGAATTTCAGCTTACTTGAGTGATCCATCATCCTCTTTCTCTTCCATCTTTGCACTTGTTACCTGAAAAAATCAGAGCAATAAGACGTACTCTCTGGTCCTGATAGCCCAAAATTATTGCAGTCATCCAAAGAGGAGACATTGGAATTTTAGCAGAGATTATGAGAAATTTCACAGCACCATCATACAGTACCGTTCGAAAGTGTGTGCCAGTAGGGGTTCCCACGTATTAGTTTTTTTTTATCTTGAAAAAGGAGAAAAGGCTTGAAGGAGAATTTTTGTTCCAAAAATTAGCTCTTCCGGGTTACTCTGACGACACATACGGGGGTATCTGTTTGCAATTTCAGAGCCATTATTCTTCTTCCTTCTCCTTACAAGGAGACCGGAGTCTGGAGAGAAGGAAGGCCCATAAACGATAAATGAACGTATCGTTACTGCCGTCCCGACGCTGGGTCTGCTGTCCTTGTCAGACGTTGCCACAATATCTCACTCAAAGCGCTCTGCCGTGCTTCAAATTCAGTGAAATCCTTTTTTGACTCCCCTTCACTACTTTGACACTCGCAAGCCATCGCTAGAAGCCCAATATCGACTTATGCTTGTAGTTCTGACTTCTTCGATCAAGTCCCTTCTAAGAGGATTCCACGCTAACTTGCAAGAACGAAAGTTGAAGAAGTAGAAATTTACCTCATACAGAGAGCGGGCCCCCTATAGGCGCGGACCAACGCGCAATTCCCATCGAATGATATGCTCCGGCGATCTACATGGCTTTCCCTTTGGCGCAGTTGGCGGGAACGCCCACAGGCTATCTAATCACTTGCCGCAGGGTCTATACGAGGGAGTGATTAGATAG